CTCTCTCTCTCTCTCTCTCTCTCTCTCTCTCTCTCTCTCTCTCTCCCCCTCCCGTGTGTTCTAGCACAACTTTGGAACACCTCGAGCAATTTCAACCAAAGTTGGTACACAAATGACTTACTCTCTGGAAACAAATACTGTGGGGGGGTAAGACACCCCCAACACCCCTCGGGGTGTGTGTTCTGTTATGATACAGCCTGTTGTGCCTTCAAACGGCTTCTACTATACTGCCGTAAAAACGGCTTCTACTGTACAGCGCAGTGGAGTTGCCGTGGTAACGGCTTCACAGTACTCCACAAGGGGGCTCCCTCTGGTAAGGGGGAAAATCCAACATTAGAAATTACGTTTGGTCCGGGCAATTTTCCCCTATAAATAAATACCTGGACAATGCCAGGTTATCAGCTAGTAGCACCTAAATCCGGTTACAAACAAGTCATCTTAAGTAGAGGAAGTGAATTTTTCAGCTCCACCAATTAAAATGCCACCCATTACAAATTCTCCCCTCTCTCCCAAAAGATTAAAAAAGATTGAACCTATGGAACTGACATTTTAGCCTAGTCTATCCTTCCTTTCCACCCTATTTGCTTGTTCTTTTTTACAGGTAAGGAAATTCTTTATTAGTGTTCTTTCTTATCAGATCCTCTCTATTCGGAAGGAATGCAATTTTGACACTGTATAATCTTTCCTATGCACACGCCACCAAAATACTTCCATATTGACCACCAATGAGACTTACCACTTACTTGGGCCCTTAGAGTATCCGTCTGGGAGACAAGCGATGATACCTCTTTGTCCTTTTTATTCAATTTGTCCTGGAGATCTGTAAGAAGAAAAGGAAGCGCTGGAAACAATACTTTGAACCCCAACCTCCACTTCACCCCACAAGCAAGCAAATAAGAGGTCCAACATATTTAGGAAGACACCAAACTAAGGAACTCTGCGTGAGATGCACTCTTACCTTCCATGGCTTGTTTCATCTTGATCTTTTCTTCTGAAATGTCATTTGTTTCAATCATCTAAAGAAACATTAAAAAAATCCCCATAAACCAGCAATACTGGGTAATATGAATTGAATGAAGAAGGTGCATAACCCTGAAATCAGTTCTACTGGTGCTTTTCATGGTTACGTCTATGTATGCCTTCAAATCAGTTTTGACTCCTGGCAATTGGCTGGATAAGTTCCTGAAGTCTTCTTGGCAAAGTTTTTCAGGAATGGCTTGCCACTGCTTCCTTCCTAGGGCTGAGAAAGAGCAACTGGCCCAAAGCTGGCTTTGTGATTAAGCAGGACTAAAACTCCCAGTCTCCCAGTTTTTACTATGATGTCTTAACCACTACACAAACTCGCTCTCTTCCATGCTTATACCTTCCACTGATTTATGACAGACATGGCCAATTTTATAGATACACTCTAGTAAAGATCGAACATTTTGCTTTTATCGTATCAAAGTAAATCTCATGAACTATTGAAACAAGCCTTGTAATCTCTGAATGAATAAATGATGCGTCTTAATAAAACATACATAAGCTTTCTCTCTTGCACGCAATCAAATTTTGTGGTTTGCAGTAATGAAACCACAAGTTTTGCAGCTAGCAGTTTATCCCCTGTGGACTCAAACTTGTGTTGAAATTCAAAAAACAATTTCCTACCGGTTCTGTGGGCGTGGCCTGGTGATCATGTGACTGGTTGGGCGTGGTTGCACAACTGACCCACACACACAATGCAAAAGCAGCTGGACTTCACACAAAATGGCCCCTGCAACAAGCAGGAACCTCACAAACAATCAGGCACAACTGATTGTTGCACAGCTGGTTCATAGCAAAAAAAAAAAATCTAAAAAAAGTTTAAAAAAATGTTCCCGCCATCGCGCATAGCTGGTCGTCTGAACTTTTTAAAGCATTTTTTTACTACCGATTCTAGCGAACAGTAGCATTTTTTACTACTTGGTTCAGGCCCGAACCGGTAGCATTTTACCTCTGACCAAATCTGGTTTGGTAATAAAACATCTGCAAGAAAACAACCAAGCTCAGAGAGCACCAGGGTCCTCTATTTCAACCCTGAGCTATAAATATTCTCCTTTAATGATTAATTGGGGGAAGGAGATCTCCATAATTCTAAAAAATCCTTGGAATCTAAGAATTTGTCAGCAAAATGTAATTTATGCTGTTTGAGTAGCAATGTCATCATGCAAGTTATATAATTACAATAATAATATGCAAATGATAAACATAATTAGATTTGTCCACTGCATACAAATTCTGGGGAATCAAGATTTTATAGTATTTTTTTTTAACTGAAGATAATTTTAATGGAAACAAAAACCACAAAAACATGACTTATAAAATCCTAGGAACAATAAACAAGTACAATAAAGATTTAATTCGGACTATTAAATGGATTGCACTGTGAATCTCCTTACATTTTTTAAATAATTTTTTTTTTATTTTGTTTGTACAAACTTCACATCTTTGTTGATCTTCCTTCCTTCCTTTTTTGCTTTCCTGCCCACCCCCCCTTCCTCTAGCCAATTGTACAATAAATCCCATACGGAGTAATATTCAGATTCTTCTTCCTCTTTTAGTTCTTTCGTGAGCCTATCCATCTCTGCACATTCCAATATTTTTTTATTACATTTTCTTCTGTTGGTGTATAATTATTTTTCCAGTTTTGAGCGAATGTAATTCTCGCTGCCGTAATTATGTGTAAAATTAAGTATCTAATATTTTTNGCAGCATATAAATGTAATAAACTGAACTGAAACTGAACTGAACTAAAGGTGGGATATAAGTTAAGCAAATAAAGAATACAATTTAGAAATAGAATTTCACATCCTACTAGCCACAGATTAGAGCAAAGGAATGGTCTCACAATTTGTGAACGTGTAAAAAAGACAATACTGCAGGATCTCTCATTGCAGGGGTTGAGAAACCAGGATAAATCCAGTCTCAGGGTTCCGACCGATGCCCTAATTAAATCATGAGCCTCATGCCAGGCTTCAAAAGAAATCCAGTTATTTATTAGGAGCTTCAGGTGGCACAGACCAAATGAAGCCAACTATGACCTCACTTAATTTACGTCCCAGCTCTGACCCTGTTTCCCCCCTCCCCCTAAGGTGTGTCATCAGTCACATTCTCCAAGGAAGCAATTTCACAGGTTGTAGAGATCACTCCCCTCCAGCCACAGAGGGTTTCTGTGGAGACAACCTTGCCTTATCAGTTGGAATGTGCTTTGATTTGACTGAGATGCCAGCTCCTTGATGCAGTTGCGAAGTTCGTTTTCCTATCCCTCTTACCTAAGGCAACTCGAGAGCAGGTCAGGGATGCTTTGCGAGTTGACATCCAGTTCTTAGATATTTTTTTTAATAAGTAGAGGATGCGCATCCAACCTCCCTAACCAGATCCAGTCCAGATATAGCCATGAAAGACTGACCTGTGCTTTTTCAGAGCAGCTGCGCATAGCTTCCATCAGTTTTTCCATTTGCTGGCCGTGCTCCAAGGCGTTCCTCAGGACATCCTCGGTGCTGACCAGCCGGTGTTGCAACCGGAGGATCTCGGTCTCCGAAGAAGGATCAATAAGGGAATACCGCCGCTGATCTGCGACTGCTTTTTCTTTGTCCTGCATATTTATTTTTTTAAAAATTAGGGAATTAGAGAATTATCTGCTGCATTCATTTATAGAAAATCAGGAGAAAAGTATTAAATGAGGATCCAAAAGGGGGAAGAGGAAGAAAAGGTAGATGTTTTGAATAATATTAAATATTGTTTTTTATTTGGGCAACCTGGTCTACCCAAATATAGGATGGAGCATACTGCTTCAAAGACTTAATATCTCCCCTGGTATAGCTGACAAAGCAAGGAGAGCCCAGGGCTTAGAGGTTAATACATCTACCACACCTAATATGTAAGTAGCCCAGGTTTGAATCCCAGAAAGGTATGGCTAGCTGACGAGAGCTAAACTGCTTGAAATAGATCTATATACAAGTCTCCCTTTATTTCTTTGTTGGTAAATATAAATACAACACATTAAATAATAATTTAATAATAATAATATTTAACAATAATATTAAAAGGCACAGTTTAGATGCAGAGGTGGGGAATAATGGCCCCTTTATGACTGGTGGACTTTAACTCCCAGAATTCTGGGAGTTGAAATCCACCAGTTATAAAAGAGATTGAATTCTGGCTTAGATATTGACTTCTGGGTCATGGAAATACCGAAGGACCAGCCCCTCTGAGCTCCGTTTTCACTGCAGAGGGTGGTAGGAGGCTGTTGCAGCTGAAAATGGAGCTCAGGATCCCATTTTCGCTGGCAGAGCGCTCGGTCCACCACAGGCACCCCCAGAATGAGTGATGTTGAGTTGACCATGCCAACCCCGCCCCCTCGAGGTCAAACATAACCTAATGCAGCTCTCAATGAAATCAAGTTTGACACCCCTGGAATAGAATAACAGAGTTGGATGGACCTTGGAAGTCTTCTAATCCACTTCAGATGAATGGCTATCCAAAACTCTTCTTAAAGACTTCCAGTGCTGGAGCATTCACAACTTCTGGAGGCAAGTTGTTCCACTGANGCCGGTGAGATTTGAACAGCCGAACTGCAGAACTGCAGTCAGCTGAAGTAGCCTGCAGTGCTGCATTTAACCACTGTGCCACCTCGGCTCTATAATCTCTGTGTGTGTGTGTGTCTGTGTGTGTCTGTGTCTGTGTGTCTGTGTGTCTATATGTATGTAAATAAGTAAGTAAGTACCGTAAGTAAAATAAAAGAATAAAGATAGGGATTCATGGCAAAAAAATAATAATTAAAAAGCCAATAGCTACTCATGGACACTGGTGGTCTTTCAACTCAAACACTCACATTGGTGGGTTGGGAAGGGTGGAGGGGCTCCGTGGAGTGCAATTTATTCTCTAACACAAGAACTTTCTCCTGCAACCGCTGAATCTCTTGTTTACTTTGAACCTCAGTTTTCTGCAGGGTTTCATAGTCCAGCATCTTTTTCTCAGCCAAGGAGATCTGCTCTTTCAAGAAAGCGATGGCTTGTGCCTGGTCTTTGTAATCACTGTGTAGCTTCTCCAACTCGTGAACTCTGAGGTCAGCATCTCGACACTTATCCTTCAAGTCCTGGAGTTCCATTAGCTGCAGGTTCGTTTTGGTTTCCAACTGGCTCTTCCAATTGCTGTCGCTTTCTTCCATCTCCTCCTTGACTTCTTGCACCTTCAGCTTAAGGCTTTCCTTTTCTTTAATATGAACTGCCATCTCAATGTCATGCTTAGCTTTTAGGTTCTCCATCTCTAACTGGTGCTCCAATTTGATGCTTTCTACTACAGCTTTCAGCTCCACTATTTCCTTATGCTGGCTGTCAGGGCCTGTGTTCAAAGTAGCCTTGAGGTCCTCCAATGACTTCTGATGGTCTGATGCTAAGGTGTCCAGCTTTGACTTCCAGTTGTCCATTAAGCCCATGTTCTCATTGGTGGCCTGCTGAACTTTTTGCTTGAGGTCCACAATTTCTTGGGAGTACTTTTCATTGACAGCTTTCAACTTCTCAACCTCCTGCTGGTGCTTCTTCAAAGTCCTCTCATACTTCTCTTTCAGTTGGATACTCTCTTTCTGGTGCTCCTTGTTGGCTGAAAACAACTGGCCACGTAAGCGGAGAGTTTCGGTCTGCAGGCCCAGGCTGTGATCTGGAGACTCTGGCTGATGGGAATTCTTTAAACATTCCCGCAACTCTTCCACCTCACTTTGCCTTAAGGTCAACTCTTCCTCCAGCTGAAGGATTCTTGATTTCTCTGCCACGGTAGTTAACTGAAAAAGATGATGAAAAGGATACAAGCATGCATTAGAATCACTGCTTGCGATTTCGTGTGTACTTGTGGGTAACCTGCAGCCCTCCAGTTGTCATTAGAATGCAGCTGACCATCATCCATCTAAAGCCATTAGCTAGGACTGATGGGAGTTCAACAACATCTGGATGGCCATAGTTCCCCCGTACCTGAAAACCCTAAGAGCTTTTTCACTCATTGTGGAAGCTTTTTCTTTTTGAAGTATATTACTGTATAATATGAGATCTTTTAGGGATGCATAAAGGTGTTAACCAACCCTTTAGCTAAAGTGCTGGACTACAACCTCCAGAATTCTGAATCTGTAACTACCAGAATATGAATGTAATGAAATGTTTACACAACATGCTCAACATCGTTTTCTGGGTTCTCAAAATACACTGAGCATAAACTAGCAAATGGGATGTAGTAACGGTAGGTTACCTTTTAACCAACTTGCCTAAATAAATTACGCAAATGTCTTTTGAGTTGGTATGGCGAACATCATATAACCTGGACAGAAGAGTGGTGACAAATATCTTAAGTATCCTTTTGCTACCAAATGTGTGAAAAAGCTCTTAGAAAAGGAATTGCACCTTACAAATACCTATGCAGTAAAACAGATTTCATTCTCTGAAGGCTTTAGAGTTTCGTTTTTATTTTTGCACCAGGGTAAATTTTCCATTGAGCTTTTCTTTCTTTTGGAATTTGTCCCATTCTGTCCTTTGCAATTTTTCTAGAAAGCAATGAGAAAACTTTTTTGCCTAGAAACATCACCGCTTCTCCTTAAAAAAAATAAAAACATGGTCTGTACACCAAGTCTCCTGTAATCTGGCGATCTCCATACGGTGGGGATGAAAATTCCACAATTGACAATCAGAATAGCCACTGGAAAAATGAGTGGAGATAAGACAACAAAGTAATGAAATGGTATGTACCAATTCAGATATCTGATGGAGACCACAGTTGAGATATTTGTAAAAATATGCCATCGAGCCCAGGGGTAGGTTTCGGCAGGCTCTACTACTGGTTTGCTCGTGGGTTGTGCTGCATTTCCGCACATACGCAGTGCAATAAAAATTGTTCTGCACATGCACAGAAACAAAAAACAAGATGGCGGGACCTATGGTGCCATCCAGAGAACTGGTTCTGGGGGCATGGCAGGCCTAAGTCATTGCCAGTTCCAGTGACCGAGGCCACCAAACCACTACCAGTTCAGCCGAACTGGTAGGAAACCACCACTGGTCAAGCCCGAATTTGACATTTTGTAATTCAGTGAACAGCATAACAACCCCTTATTCATAAGAATTTCAGTGATACCTCTTCTACTTTAAAAGAAATGTTTAAAAACAAATTCTTTTTTTTGTCAGATTGAATTAGACTTGGTAGAAAATAAGGCAGCCTCCCGAATTAGGATTCCATTGCACCACTGGCCTGATGCGACAATGCAAAATTTTGACTCTATTCCCCTCTATTAACTCTGCAATCATCTTCACCACCAATTAGATCGGTGTTTCTCAAACTTGGCAACTTTAAGACATACGGACTTCAACTCCCAGAACTCCCCAGCCAGCATGCCAGCCACCTGAGGAATTCTGGGAGTTGAAGTCCAATGCCTTAAAAGTTGCCAAGTTTGAGAAACCCTGCGGATTAAATACCTCAAGACTTGAGAGTTTAAGCAGGCATGCTGGGCAGCTTTTGAAAACTTACTCCTTCAGTCCCAGCATTCTCCATCTTGAAAACAAACCTTTTGTTCAGCCTAGGGGACTGCTGAAAGTACAAAGTAAAGTAAGAATAAATAAATAAATGAATGAATAAATGAATGAATAAATAAATAAATGCCATCATTCTTGTCAAGCGATATATCAGATTATTTTCATAAGGCTATTAAAAGGCATTTCAACTCTCAGCCCTAAATTGCTAAATTGGGCCTTGCCAGATTTGCTCAATTGTTCTATAGTCACTGATGCTTTGCTCACTGCATGTTTTACCCTGGTGTAAAAGGATGTATCAGCCATCCAGCAAACCAACCAACCAACCACCAGCCACCCTCCCACCCACCCACCTACGAGAATTGGTTAGAAGTTATTAACGGAAATGTTCCAAAGGAATGTGTAAGGAATGGTGCTGGATGTATAAGCAAATTGCTGACCATGGTTAATGTTTAATGATGGGCTTATAAGCAGCTGGGAAACTGATGGGGCACAGCACATTCGGTTTATGAATCATGGTAAAAAGGAAGTAGAGGGAAATCTGGCAATATGGACTGCTCCACTTGAATCGACTCCAAGACTACCTCTGAACATTCAGAGTTGAAAGTTAGAGGACACAAAAGTTCCTGATCCAAACTTCTGCTTAATAGAGGAACAGAACAGAATAACAGAGTTGAAAGGGACTTTGGAGGTCTTCTAGTCCAACCCCCTGCTTAGGCAGGAAACCCTACACCANCTGACTCTGTAAACCGCTTAGAGAGGGCTGAAAGCCCTATGAAGCGGTATATAAGTCTAACTGCTATTGCTATTGCTATGAAAGCCAGGTGGGAGACCAGTCCAACCCACCTCCCAGGATTGTTGTGGGGAAAACAGGAGGAGTAATGTCAGGCATGAATTACCAAACTTTATTGTTCTATACCTATTTCACAGGAATCTCCCTAAATTGGCAGCTTTTGCCTGGGAAAGACTAGGTAAGGCTCATAGGCTTTCAGGAAGATCAGGCCTTTTCCTCTTGTGTTTACTTAATGAGTCCAGACTAATACCCCACTTGAGGTCTCCTCCCAATTGGGATGGTTGCTTTCCAGTAAGGAAAAAGTATAAGGCATAGATACTCGACTTATGTGAGCCCAACATTTTTGTTGCTAAGCAAGACAATTTTTAAGTGAGTTTTGCCCCATTTTACCACCTTTGCAGCCACAGTTGTTGAGTGGATGACTGCAGTTGTTAAGTTAGTAACACGGTTGTTAAGTGAATCTAGCTTCCCTATTGATTTTCCGTGTCAGAAGGTCGCAAAAGGTGTGTCACCTTGAAGCACGCTTATGCTGTTGCAACTGTTATCACTTCTCAGCTTGCCAATGAACTAGGGGTGGGGAGGGAAGGGGGAAATGGAAGGTATGTTCCAGACATCAAGAAGAGAAACTGTGAGAGCCAAGGACACTTCAGCAGGTGGCTGAAATCCTTAGACACACTTTCTCATAACAGTTCAACAACATTTAATTGGACAATGTGACCTGCACTAATAGGGGGAGGGAGAAGTCTATAATTATGTGGGATTGCGTGGGAATTAGCTAGGGCTGGTTTTGCCTTAATCTGTGCCAAAATGTTATACACAATAAAGTTTTGCAAGAAGAGATCTGATCATCTCAGCTGTGCTTGTTTGGTTGGGTTTGTCAGTCAGAACCTTGACAAGGTGATCACATGACCTTGGAAACTGCAACTCAAAAATATATGCCAGTCGCCAAGCATCCGATTTTGATGACATGACCAAGGGGATGCGACAATGGTGTGAAAAGAGGTCATAAGTAACTTTTTCAATGCTGTTGTAACTTCGAATACACGCCAAACAAATGGTTATAAGTCAAGGACTATCTGTATGTTCACTGCTTTGAATTGTTTATAAAAATAATAAAAAAAAATTTTTAAATTTTTTTTTTGTCTGTATTCCCCTTCCCTGGTTGAGTTGTGAGCCGCCCTGAGTCCCCTTCGGGGGAAAAGAGCAGCATATAAATGTAATAAACTGAACTGAAACTGAACTGAACTAAAGGTGGGATA